ACTGAAGCTGCTCGCTCTGCTCCTGGAGGGCTGGTCCCTCCTGTGCCTGCACAGCATCCAAGACATGGGTGCATTATAAACTGAGGCTTGCATCAAGCCAGCTAGTGGGAACAAGGAGGCTATTTCAGGCACAAATACAGACTAGACAGAAGAACTTTTGTTTAGATAAGTAAATATTTTACTGCTAGCAAAAACACAGCAGTGCAACAGTCAAAGATTTAACACTGCTGTGATTATAGTACAGACTGCAGTGTTGGGAATTACTTTAGCACGATGAAAAGTGAATTATGTGAATAGAACCACTTACCACGTTTTTTATATATATTAAAAAACCTAAAAAGTATTTCTCTTGCAGGTTTCTGAATTACTACAAAATTTAGTTTTCAGAAGTTAGAATCCAAAAAGAAGTGCTGACAGGAGGTCACTAAGCTTGGTGGAAGACTGAACTATCTAGGTTGGGCTCAATTCACTTTTGGAGATTAACTTATGTAACTTTGAACTGGATTTGTATTTTTGCGCAGCCTGCTTCCATTTCCCTCGCCCTTTGCACATGAGAGCACTCTCAACAAGTGTTGCCTTCGACAGTGTTCCTAACAGAAACCTGCTTCAGGGAAGAAACATAACTGCCAGAACAGCAGCTCTTTCTCCAGCAGACTTACCTTTTGTTTAGCACCATATTTCCTAGTTTCAAGTCTCTGTGCACAATATTTTTCTGTAAAATATGTAATAGTATAACATGAGCAAAAGCATATTTGTTACAGAAGTATAAATTCGATACAAAACCACTAAGCATCTTCCAAAATCATGTCATCTTCATTCTCAGAAATAACTGAGATCAAGGTTTCAAGTCAGGTTGCATCCTAAGCACTTTATGCACTTCATTTTCCATTCTGGTCAGAGGACAGAACGAGCAAATTTGCTACTTTGAACATCACGACAGACTTCACTGAAACTAAGAGACTTGAAACTTAAGTGTCCAGGCTCAGTAAGACCAATATGATGAGCATTCCCTCCAAAGATATACGCTTTGCTGCTCTGCCAAGGAAGGATGGGTGTCCCTTGTCACACTAAGAAGTCAAACATTGGCAGAATCTATTTTTGCTACAATAGTTTCTAGTTCATTGATCTCAATCTTGTAGCTTGAGGTTCTGATCTCAGAAATCAATTCTTACATTGTGATTTATTTTGCTTCAAAAGGAAATAGCTTGAAGTGTTTCCTGCATTTGATTAGCCTCTGCTCTCCTCTTCAACCACCGCTTTCTGAGGTTAGTAACACTGTAGTTCACCTGACCTGCATTTAGTCCAGCTGGCCCCTCTCCACAGTCAACAAATGCTACGTTATCATGGAGAACCTTGAGGGGAGGGGAAGGGCAGGGAATGCTCTTTCATGGCTTGGGGCATGAGGTCTCACACAGAACACTGTTACAGGGTAAGAGCTGAAACATCCATCTTCCGCAGCCTTGCCACTGCGGGCACAACGGAGTTTTAAAACATCTATTATACTAGCACAGGACAACTAAGCCTTCCAGAACTGAAAGGGTAACAAAGCTCTTACCTTATGTAATGCTTCTACCACTCGTACCACATCATAAAATATCACCACCGTCTCCCGCTCACTGAGTCTCTTCTCTTTAATGACATAATGCTGCAGATTGATCAGATCTGCTGTTTTGTCACTGAAATCATGAGCACAGAGACAGTCTAACACAAGACAAATGCGCTTCTTCATTTTTCTGACCATTCTGTTGGCTTCTAGATCTTCTATAATTTCACAAGCTCGGTCCTACAGGGAGGCAAACAAATGAGCAATAGTTCAGGGAAGCTATCGGGGCATATGTATTTACATACAGCGCACTAGAGAATAAATAACTATGTGGTGACTTCAAAACAAGCAAATGCAATCACGGCACTCGATCTTTGCCCCGAGTTGGGATTTCAAAAAGAAGATACATGATTTCTACTTAAAGAAGCCAGAGAAATCCTATGCTGTTTGGCTACATGCATATGGCAGCACTGACACTGTTTATATATCCAGAGACACCTTTAGATAAAGCCTAGAAAAGCTCTACAGTGGTACAGGCTCCGTGAATACTAGGGATCCAACACATTATTAATAAGAACAACAGAAATCTTAAGACACAATTAGCAGTTCTTCCATAACATTAAACAGCACATGGCTGAGCTGGACATTTGGCTTATTTAAGATACAGTACAGATGGCCTCAAGTGAAAAGTCTGTCGACAACATTTAACCAGCAAGCAAGGCAATACCAACATCCAAACCAGTAATTCCTATCAGCCTATCACATCCATAAACAGCTCTGAAGGCATTAACAGCAACACAATTCACTCACACGAGACATTGAGCAGCACACTGACTGGTTTAACTTGCTGAAACAGTTTCTTGGCAATTTGTCCCCTCTTACAAGTCATCATAAAACAGCACAGAGACCGGAAAGCACAAGTTCAGTTGTAAACTGTGCTCTATGGGCACAAATTAATTTATCAGTGAAGCAGCTATTTTCCTATTTGAAGGGGACACTACTGAGCATCTGTCCCATCTTTGAATGTTCTGACATTTCCCAAATCCCAAACCCCGTTACATCCCTCTTAACTCTCAAAAGCCCCCGCCACAAAGTTGCTTGTTTGAAGCAGCAGCAATTAATCTCAGCGGTGTGCTGGCAATTCTTCACACACAAGAACAGGGTCAGCACGAACTGTACATTAAACAAAAGCAGATCAAGCCGATAGCAATTACTGGCATTCCCCCAGCCTGGATGGTGACCAGCTGTACCTGAAAGAGCCCGTGATGATGAACCACTCCTTCCTGGTTGTGGAGAAGGGAAAGGAGAGAATACTCTGTGTGCAGCAGCATCTTGCCCTGTCGTTCCTCCTGGGTTTCTATTCCTTTATCACCCCTTTCTTCTAAGGTGAGAATCTTCAGGAAAAGGGAAAGACCTTTACAGTCCCCAGAAAAACCTAAATGTCCCCACACCTCTCTCAATTTAGGTATTCACGTGTGTAACAGCTGATGTAATTGCTCTGATGTTTGCATACTTGCCACAAACCTGTCTGAACTAACATCTGTGCAGAACGCATAGCATGAGCTTGATTAACACAGAAAAGCAGCTCAGCTGGCTTTCTGCAAATATCCCAGGTGATTTCTCCCCACTGGAGCCGCCCGCATTTCAGGCACAGCAGAGCAGAACAGAGGGCTCCAGGAGAGCGGCACAGCAGCCACAGAGGCCTCATCTCAGGGCTGATCTCAACACGAGATCTACGCCCCGCAGAACTGCCCCACCGAGGGGCAGCCGTTCCTGACAGAGCACCAGCTCAGCCTGCAGCACACACTACTGCAAGTGCTTCTGTCACAAGAGCTAGAGAGCCCTGAAGATCTGGAAGCCCTGCAGTTTGCTTACCTTTAACTGATAAAAGTCATCTGTCCCATCTTTTCTTGCCAAACACTGAACAATACTTGGCACAGGGGAGTTACCTAAACGCGGACCTAACAGCACAAAGCAAAAACAGACTTGTTTTCCTTTCAGCAGCAATGACTAATTCAGGGTTACATCAGTATGCAAGTGTCACGCAGTTTACATTAGTTTAAACTAAAGTTCCTTTTTTTCAGGAGACGAAGTGCATTTCCACAAATTACGATCTAAAGAAAAAAAACTGTATTGAACTCTGAAACCTTTTTGGACAATGTTTCATTTGTTCACTGGAGAAACATTTAACAAAAGCCCACACATGGCACAGCTGTTTTCAGAAATCCAAATTTCTGCATGCCTGAACCATACGGCTTTTACGTTTACTAGCAACACTCATGGCAACTACTATTACTGCACCTCTGAACCCAACTGCCACCTCCACAGGAACAGCTCAAGTACACAGATTAGTCCAAATTTCAAGTTAACATACAGTCCCCAGTCTTCAGTTTAAATCAGCCAGCTTCCAATAGACTATCCATTGGTTTTCACCGTGAAGTCCATCATGTTTGTGACCGTTTATATAACTAATTCTGAACTAACAACTCTTCCAGCAACTCTCAAAAGCTAGCAGAGTAGTCTTGCCTTGGCACACACTGCTTATAAGGACCACAAGTGCATCATTAAGTTGCCTACATGCTGATTTGACAGCATATTCCAGGCAAGCAAGGTTGAACATCTCCCTGGAGCTCTAACCAAAAAGCCCCCTGAATGAATTTGCTCTGTAACAAAGTTTAAGAACGTAGTTTCACAAATTAAAAAAAAAAAAAAAAAAAAGGTAAAAAGCAAGGGATCATATTTATCTTAAAAGGCATGCCTGCCTTGCTATATTAGTATTACAAGTCTCTTTAGCTTGACTAGCTGCAGAAGCTCCAAGGGCTGCTGCTCTGCTACATCAAGTGAACTGCACTCTGAGGTAAGACACTAAACTACACATCTGCTTTGCCTTATTTTACGGTGCTTTTTATTTCCAGTTTTGCAATCAGTAGCTACCTTGAAAACCAAAGAAAACAACTCTCCCTGCTTACCTAGTATAAAAGGGCCCGCTCTCTTGGCATTATTTCCAGAAATCCCCGTACAAAGAGCTTTTGCCTTAGCGGATGTTTCCCCAGCTCCTCTGTCTGATGCTCGCCGCTTCATCCTTGGCTCTTGAAAGAGAAAAAAAGATCACATTTGATGAGCAACTGAATTAATTTCTTATACTGTTCCTTATTTTGTACTGGGAGGCTTTCACCTACTGATGCACTCGTGTCTCTGCCTACTTGCGTTTCTACAAAAAAAGCTATGGTTCATTACTGATAGACCAGTGGGTTGGAGGCTTAATGCATTTTTGAAGGTATAAATCAGCCTCGTTATTCAAAGCAACATTTCCTACAACAGTTGTTTGAGACACATAGTGGGAACGAGTCAAAACAATTAAAGCTTGTTTTACAGCAAAAACAAGTTTGCAAATTAACATATTCCAAAGAACTCTGAAAGAAAATGCTTAAGTTATCCTTCTGTATGGATGCCTGCTTCTGATTCAGCTTATGGACTTTCTGGGGTTCCTCCACAGAAGACTTCCCACCAGGCATCGCAGCCAGCTCACCCAGCAACTTGCAAGGCTCGAGTCTGTTCCTCAAACAGCCAAGAACGCACGAAACTAACAGACCATAAAAATGAACAATATCTTTCACCTTTTCCAGCAAGGGCACAAAAGACTGAAACATGCTAGTTATTGTGAGATTCAGTTAATTTAACAATGATTTTTCAAAAATGTATTTTAGTCTTAAAATAAGTCTCCCCTCTCTCTTTGTACCTCTTTAGGCTCTAACCTTTTTATTACATCTCCATTTATCTACACCCAATGCAGCTAAAATTTGGAGTCCAACATATAAAACTCTATCACTTCAGTCTCCACATGCAGGAATTGATGATTTCTTTAGAATTAAAAAACTATTACCTGCCTTTAACAAATATTCCAATCAAAGGAAACACTGTGATGCCAGTTCATGTGCTCTCTTGCACTACCACTCCATGCAAAGGACAACTTAATCTATTAAATGTGAACCTCATGCTTTGCATCCAAGTATTTATTCAAGGTCCACACGTCACTACCATTCAGCACAAACAACTAAAAGCTTGACTAACTCCTACTTATTCAGTTATTGCAGACAATCTGATTTCCAATGTGCATTTTCTGCTGCTCAGAATTTGCAAGCAGTATTACAGAACCAATACCTAAAGGGCCAAATAAATTCAAGCCTTTGTGACTAAAACATTCCTTCCCCAAAGGAAAGTCTTGTTTCAGTTTAGCAGGAAAAGAACCTCATGTTTGCTGCCAGCCTAGCCTTCACATGCTGCATGTTCACTGCAAGCATAAATCAGCTCCATTAAACTGAAGTTTTGTCCTTGGCACACCTCCTCTTCACCTTTATCTCTTGGAAAATAGTTTGAAAGACTTTCACAAATATCTAGACATTAAATGCTCGTGTCTAACTTCTCAAAGATTTCGGGGGCGAACGGACAGGCAGGGGGAGGCGAAACTAAGCACAGATCCATTTTCTTACTCTGAGCAAGTCAAAACCAAGCCCCAGTAGTCTTCCCTAAGAGGTAACTACAGCAGACTGGGAAAACATTTTTGGGTTGCACTTATTTGTTTTAAAAAAGTCCCAGTGTTTCACCATGTAAGAGACTGACAAATCACCAGACTTTGAATGAAGTTTACCCTCTGGCAGTCCCACCCTTTCTGTGGACACAAGCATGATCTCACCACATTAATTCACCTACCAGTACCTGTCACCAAGATCAGAGATAGCAAGAGAGATAAGGTGAGAGGTCTTGCAGCAGACTTTGCATCCCTGCACTACCACTTCCACCAGCCCTTCAGATCTCCGACAGAGAAGCATTACCAGGCCCAGCTAGTTGAACAAAGTCCTGAGCCCCATATGCTCCTTGTTCTGTTCATTCCGCATCCCTGACCTAATATTTGATTGTGTCTTACAAAATTCGCCACTCCTTGCAACATCATCATCCCTGCTGGAAATGGATGAGTAACACCTCCACTGGAGAAACCCCACTGCACAGAAACTCTGAGATAATGACCGTTGCGCAATCCGAGCTGGATAGGAATCGCTGGTGCAAACGGCGTTATCGTAAACAAAACAATCTGAGGACTCACGTAGTTCAGCATCAACTGTATCTTTACTCTTCTTCCAAACTAGGTTTTCCAACGTCTCAGGAGACAGGAGTCATCACCTTGGAGAAGGCTGCATGGTCGAAAGGTCGAGGACTCTGTAATGCGAAACGAGATACACTTGATGCTGTGGTTCTGGATTATTCTTGATTACGATAACGTGGTATGCACCAAAACTTCTGCAGCTTGAAACATCTGTGTTTATTTTGGCTTCAAAAAGGCCTGAAGCTCCTGATATCACACAAGAGAATAAAAGGGTACTTGAAGTTCAGTCCCCGAAGAGTCACAGACGCATGGCCCAGCACAGCAAGACAAATACAAGCGTAAACGATCTCAAAAGGCATTTTGTGATGCAAGACAGACCTTCAGAGCAGAAACAAACATGTTCTCCATTTTAACCTCCGTCACATGCTATGAGCTTGCCTGCTTTTAACAGTATCTTAATACACCCAAGTTAGCAACAGAGCCACAACAACCTTCACCACTGGAAGCAATTTTTTATCACGGTAAGAGTTAATGCTTTAAGTTTGGACTTGAACAGAATCATTTTTGCAAAAGGCAACGAAGAATACATTATATTTTATTCTTATCAAATCCCCACTGCAAGTTAATTCCTCTTTACAGCTTATATTTGGCCTCTTAAAAAAAACCACAACTAATTCAACTTAAATTCAGTGCTGCTTAATAGTTCATCTGGTCCCATTAAAGAGGAGAAATTTAGGATTTAAATCAGACACTCTAGAACTGAATCTATATCACCTCTACCAAATGCTTAGTTTAACCCTCGCATATTGCATGTGCTACACATTTGTTACTCCAAGCTGGTTTATTTTACTTGTATCCAGTTAGATCAACTGAAAAATGCACACGGAACATTTGGGACACCGGAACCAAACTCCCAACACCATCCAAAACACAATACAGTACTATCACCTGGTCCTGGCGGGGCTGCACAGACTGCTAAAGATATTTCTGATTTAAAGTACCAAAGGTATTTATACTCTGATGAACAACGTTCAGAGCCACTGCTCTAGGCAGCAGGATGTCCCGGTGACGCAGACCCATGCCGACGGCGCGCAGGCAGCCCGCGCACCGGCTAGCCAGCAGTCGACGGCGCTGACAGCGCCTGTAGGTGCCCCAGCCCTGCCGCTGCTTAAAGGACATCCACCAACTTAAATATCACATCTCCGTCACAGAACACTTGCAAGAGCAAGTGAGAAAAACATCAATATAAAGGAGTACTCAGCTATACAAGACAGTCCTGTCCCACTTACGGCACTGTCTAGCCAATCTCCCTGCTCCCTACTCGGTTCCTGCTGCATCATTAGGCAGCACAGCCCCCCAAAAGTCTCAGGGGCCCTCAGCAGCACCCAGAGGGTTTACACGTGGGCACTTCAGGTTCCTCCGAGACTGGAATGAAGGACGGTCGGATGGAAGAAAGGTCCCAGAGCAAAGGGAAGAAAACCAGGCGAAGCTGCTGTGAAAAAGCAGGAAGATTATTCCCTTTTCTGCACATTGTGTAACCCCAGTTAGAGCAAGGAAATTGGTCAAAAGGGCACAGTCTTCCTTGTGTAAGCCTCCCGCAGAACGAGTGGTCATCCACTAGGCATAGGGCCACGAACAGTATTTTGAGACTGGGTATAAGGAAAATCTTAAAAGAACAGCAATGCAGGAGGCTCCCCCTCGATGCCAAGCCAGTGGGTGTTCTCTACCTGCAAATTCATTTAACCTTGGTTTGAGCTGGGCTGATACAAAGCTCTAATTTCAAGGGGCTTCACTGCTAGAAGTACTTGCAACACAAAGCTGGTATTGCTCAGACAGCAACAGCTGAACTATATCCTGGAAGAACAAGGTTTAAGTAAATTCTAGACAAAAGCCATAACAAACTGGACAGCTTAAAATGACTCTGTGGCTGTAAGCAGAAACACGAGGCCACAGCAGCCCTTAGCGCTCAGACCTGGAGCAGGACCCACTGCGAGATGGGGGCCCAGTCCCAGAAGGAGCGGGTGCCAAAGCCATCTGCCATCCTGCCCGCGGGCCCCAGGGTATCCCTGGTCTCGCTACAGGCACCACCGGCCCCTGGGCAGGCGCTGGCCGCAGGACCCCCGCATAGCTCAGCTGGAGGGACCCTGGCAGCGCGGCTGCTCCTCTGCCTACCACGTTCAAACAGCAAACGAGCTGCTGCTTCGTGTCCTGCCGCTAATGCCACCAGAGGAGCCGAGCCTTCCCAGGGCGGGCTTGCTCGGAGCACACGAGGGGGGATTACTGCATCGCACAGGGATTTCCTCCTCACACACAATGAGCAGAGGGCAAATAAGCAGCGACTGGAGTCCCACACACGAGCTGGTTACACTGCAGCACAGCTGAGATTTAAAATAGCCCAAAGTTGAGAATTTAGAACGTTTCCATGAGAGGTGGCAAGCCTCATAAGGACGAAGAGCATCGCCCCTGCAGCAACGCCTCTGTCTACAGGCAGCCCCACAGACAGCCGGGACTTTCCAATTCTTAAGACTGGGGAAAAAAAAATAAAAATCATTTTAACATCAGCAGGATCAGTCTCAAGACAGAGCATCCAACATTTCTGCAAAGAACCAGAACAAAACCACTTATCCCTTAAAACACTCCATTCCAGGGACAGAACCATTAGATACTCATGCGGTGGGTTCACCGCCTCCTCCCCCCAAAACCAAACTGTACAAACGGAATCAAACCACCCCCGCTCCCTGTCCCGCCATCTGTAACAAAAACGCTCTCTCACACAGACAATGAAGTTACAAGTCTAGCACAAAAATTCATTACTTAACAATTTTGATGTGCTGCATGCAATATATCAAATATCTTACTGGAGAAGTGTCTAAAGCTTCTTAGTGTGCTAGCTATGACTTTAATAGAATTATTAATCAAATAATTTGGGGATCTAGATGTAACATCTTTTAATTACATAGCTTAGGAAATTGTCTAATTCCCGAATTACTGCATGACCTTCCAGTGGCCAGGATAACAACAAAGAAAAACAAGAGAGGAGGCAACCGACCCTTCCATCTCAGATGAGAGAACAAGCAGGTCCTGCAGTCCAGCAGCCACAGCTAATAGCTGGAGCAGGGGAAAAAAAAAAGGACCTTTGGGGTGTTAACAGGATTACTCAGCAGCACAGAAACCAGTTAAGACACCGAAGCAGCTGATACAACCTCCATGACGCTCTCTGTTGTTTTATCTTGCAACAAGGGGACAAAATGAGTGAGTTGGTATTTACACCTTCTAGTGTGATGACTGGCAAGCCCGAAGGTGTCCTACCCCACCACGACGAGCAAGCTGATCTGTGCAAGTAAGGCAACAGGATGAGTTGGCAGCTGGGAATCAGCAGCAGATGACGGAGCCCACCAGCATCTGCTGGAAGTTCAGGGCTACCGAGGACAAGCTCCTTCAGCCAGGAGCTCATACCATGAGAGGAAACCTGCCTCCGGGAGCCCAGGTGCCGCAGGAGCAGCTCCCAGGCAGCCAAAGCAGCACTCCCGCTCGCCGCGCCGCCAGCACCCCGGCACCTGAAACCTGCCTGTCACTCCTGACCTGGAAACGCTGCAGGTGGAAACAAGACAGGGCTGCGCCGGAGTCGCAGGCAGGGCTGCCAGGCTGCTGACTCGGGCGTGCACACAGGACAAGTGAATCACCTCTTCCCGTGGGCTTCGTCACCGGGCTTGAAACCTCCAGAAGAGAGGCGGCACCACAGCCATGCCCGCCAGACGCTCAGCTGCCCAGGGAAGCACGGTATTGCTCTGTACTCGTGAATTATCCATCTCCCACCCTGGATGGGAGAAAACCTGCCACCCAATGCAGCTGCACTTCTGCCCAGCTTTCTCTTCTGGGAGCCAAATGCTGCAGCATTCGGGACAAGGCTGGAGACCCAGTCCAAAGGTTTTTGTCCCACTCACCCCATCCACTCTCCTCTCAGCCAGCACAGGCCTCAGCTTTTACTGAAATGAAGCTAAAAAAAATGGATTCAAATGAGCAGTATCAGGCTGTACCTTTTACCACCTAAATAACACGCTGGGCAGTATTTATCAGTGATGATTAATCCAAGTTCACATTTAAGCCTGGCTCATAGCAAATTCCAACTCACAAGAAGCAATGTTGGACATGACCTAAAAACCTACATGAATGCTAATATTAAATGAGTAAAACCTCGAGTATAGTCCGGCTTCCTGGCACAGAAACAAGCAGGTCGGTATCGCTGAAAGCAGCAGCGATCCTGGAGCATTGCCACACACCTTCCCTGGGCAAACCCGGCTAGGGACAGCTCAGACCCGAGTCATCAGCGTTCCCAGGGACAAAGGCTCCATTCCCATTGGAAAAGCTTCCCCAAGAACATGCAGAGTTCGGATCAGCCAGGCCTGCAGCGGGGTCACTGGCTGGGGGATTACAGGGAATGTTTGCTGGGCAGATCCCAAGCAAAGCAGGTCTGCGGGAAGGAGGGGCCGCTGCAGCCGGGCGCAGGGTCAGCTCGGGTGGGCTCCCCTCCCTCTGCAAAGCACCATGGCAGATTTGCTACACAGGAACATTAACTTCACCAAAGCTCTGGAAGTTTAACTGTTCTGTAAGAGAAGTAATAAAAAAAAAATCCCATCAGATGACTCAGAGCCACCAGTGCAACCCATGTACCGCTGTGCAAGCCCTTCCGGGAAGGGAAACCTTCTCCAGAAACAGAGGAGCCCTGACTCAGAGATTTCTTGGAAACGTGTGGAGACTCATTCAAGCTTCTTCCCTAAGCAAGAAGTTCCCTCAAAACCAGACACAGAGTTTCTCTGACCAAAGAAGGAAGAAGAATCCCAAGGCACTGGTGCAGCACGAGGGGCTGGGGCACCATCTTTATCATACCTGGTAAAGGTACGCACTCACCAAGCGAGCCG